AATAATCAGCTCTTCAAATTACCAAAATAATATTTAGCAGTTTATTACTATTATTACTGCTGTAATGGTGGATACTCATAATAATCATGGCTAAAGTTTTAGTGAATGAGGTTTGGGTTTGTTTGGGGTTTTCCCGCCTGACTCTTGGCTCTCTAAAATATTGGAGAGGATATCCTTATTATGATGATTTCAGGTTTCTTCCTGTTAAAAGGGAGTTTTTCCCCTTCCCACTGTTGCCATGTGCTTGCTCATAGGTCATCTGATTGATGGGGTTTACTTACTATTATTGGAAGGTATTTATGTTACAATATAAAGCGCCTTGAGGTAACTGTTATTGTGATTTGGTGTGATATAAATAAAACTGAATTGAATAGATCTGGCTGTGAGCAACAAAGTCCACCTCCTGTTCAAATTAATTTGTAAAGGAAAATCATAACAAAGCTGGCTTAAAGGTAAGGAGGAGCTCATTTTAGAGAGCGGATAACCTGAGTGACTGAATCAAAGTCCAGTTTAAGATAAATGAGGAAACATGCACAGCTTCTTTTTTTTAAAGTCCAACAGTAGAAATATAAATCTAAATTAATGTAATGGGTTAATTTTGATTATACATCCTTTTAACCCATGCAGATAAGCTTCAACATTAGCCACAATCATGGGGACACCAATAAATAAACAAATATCTTTGTTATTTAAATGAATCTACGTCTTACCTACAGAGACCTAGCTCATGAGATGGGACACCCCTGGGCGGAATATTGGGACTTCCTGGATAGTTTTGTGGATCTGTCATCTGGTGAGGGGCTCCGCAAGCTGGACGATTACCTGAGCAAGAAGGATTTCAGTTCACGGACTCATGAGGGGGCCGGCGAGAATGAAACCAGCAACAGGTTTAAAACCCCCTCCCCAGGTACAAAGTGCTTTATATTTGAGAAGTGTTGCTGAGATGGACTGTGCACATTTCTGATCACGTTCTGATTTAATGTGTTAATTATAGTAGCGTAATCTGTGTGTTTCTCGAGTATAGCCTCTTGTTATATTAAATGGACTTTGCAAAGTTTCATACCTCGTTTTTTTGCCCTAAAGCAAAGTGCACCACTCTTTAGTTTACACTTTTTGTTACTCATTCTTCGCTGATTGCAGGCAAGCCCAAAAAGTTCTGCAACTCTATTTCTGTTGGTGCCTTCCTGGACGAGGGTGACGATATCAGCCTTGAGGAGATGAAGAACCGGCAGAACGCAGCACTCACCAGCATCACCTCCTGTGCTGCATCCAAGGACGTCCTGAAAGGAGCCGTGGGCGGCCGCGAGTTCCACATCGCACTACGCCACCACGGGGCCGACCTGATCGAGACTGCTGCCGAGCAGGACCTGCTGTGCTGCTGCAACGACGGCCTCCTGTCGCCCGGTGTAGTCTGTAAAAACGGGGTGTGCTCCTCCTCCAGAGATAGGACTCACAATGGAGACAAGGTGTCCCCACGCACCTCCCCATCCTCTTCCTGCATGCTGTCGCCTATTTCCAATCTCATGGTGGAGTTTGAGCGCATGTCTCTGCAGGAGCCACCAGACAGTCCCACCAGCTGCAGAGAGAGAAGGAGCAGCGGTGGGAACCGTCATAGGGAGGCTCGGGACTATAACTCCTCCTCAGCCACAGACCTGAGCTCTGGGCTGAACCTCCTGTCTCTCAGTCACAGCGGTCAAGATGGTGAGACTGTGGATGGGCCAGGCTGGAGAACAGAGGGAGTAGGTCAAGAAGAGAGGCACAGCAGCGGCAGCTCAGAGGAGTACTTTGAAGCAGAGGAGAGTCTGGAGATGCTGGGTAGGACTAGGGGGTCAGTGTCAGGGTTGCGCAATTTCTGCGCTAGGTCCAAGTCATGGGACCACGGGGGCAGGGACTTAAGCAGCTCAGGATCCTCTGGGTCCTCTTATAAGTCCTTAGAGAACTCCCATGAGTTCTTACCCAGGACCCCACCACATGTCAGAAGAGGACTTTTTATTGATGGGTGAGTCGCACTTGCTTTCACTGCGGAGGATTCAGTTTATAGCAGACAAATAGAAAATGTTCCTGAGAATCTTTAAGTTTGGTATTGTAAATAAAATTAAATATGAGACTATATGGAAAAGAACCTGAACTACATGAAGCATTTGTGAATATTGTTGTGATAATCCAGAGAAGTACTGTGTCACACACTCTGAGCTAGATGCTGTTAGGAGCAGTCTGATGATCCCCAACTGAGCTGAAGTGATAAGAAGCTGATTAATCATCCGTCTTTTTTACAGTGATTCTCCAACCAAACTGGACAGAGCGGTCCTGTCAGCAATAGAGGGCGCAGACATCGATCCTCAGAAGTATCCGAGTATTCATAAGTGGAAGAGCACAGTGAAGTCATACTCTGCCTCAGATATGCAGAGGTTAGTAAGCTTGGCTGGCATATCAATGCTGAGTTTCCATCAGTGTTTTACAGGCTGTGTGTGTGTTTGATGGCAGTTGTAGGCAGACTT